GGGGGGGGGGGGGGAGGGAGCTAGGAAAATAACAAATATTTACAAATCATTCATAAGATCATAAAGACTTAAAACAGGCCAATTTTAAAAGAAGATTCTGAATATTCAATGATGATAAATGTCATATATATATATATATATATATATATATATATATATATGCTCAGTACCAATGGCTATCAAGGAAAAACAAATCAAAATACAAGCAGGGCATAGGAGCACCCCTAAAATTAAGGCACTCAGAATGCTAAGTAGGACTGCTGTGAGTTCAAGGACAGCCTGGGATACAAAGCAAAACCCTATTTAAAAAAAACAAACAAACACACCCAAAAAGCCACCTACAATGAAGTACCATTCCATGCCCATTAGCAGGATTAAAATCAGACAGACAGACAGACAATGACAAGCACCAGTGAGGAAGCAGGATGGTTAGGACCCTGGTACATCTTTGGAGAGACTGCAAAATGGCTCAACCTCTTTGGAAAATTGACAGTACCTGGAAAAGCCAGAACCACACACGGCTCATCAATTCTACCTACAGGCATACTCGCAATCCAAGAGATATGAAGAGTCACACGACAACTTGTACACCAAGGATCGCAACAACATAAGTAACAGGTAATGTGGGAACAGCCTTAAATGTTCATCAACTGATAGGTAAATAAAATGTGACACACATTCTTAAATCATTCATCTGTAAAAAGAAATAAAGGACTTATACATGATAAAAACACAGATAAACCTTAAAAAAAAAAATTATCATGCTAAGTGAAAGATTCCAATCATAAGGGACCATACATTGTGAAAATTTATAAAATACCAGAGAACAGGCAAACCTAGAAGGAAGATTAGTGGCTGCCCAGAGTGGGTTAAGAAAATGGTGAGCAAATGCTAATGGACACAGATGTTTCCTCAGGAGACAGTGAAAATGTTCCACAACTGTAGGGATGCTTACACAATTCTGTGATGACATAACAAGCCACTGAGGTATTCTTTAAATAGGTAGAAATATATGGAATCTTAATTATGGCTTAACAATGACATCCAGTACCTCCCCCAACATTATGACATAATTAAAAGTAGGGCCTTGACATATTTTTTTTAAATGTTCCCAGACTGACTGTTCTAGCTGAATGTCTACATACTCTAGTTGAGTATCTCTAATCTTACAGAGAGAAGGATGGGGTGTGGAAAAGAACAAAAACTACTCATACCTCCTGGGGATCCACCACACAGTAGTGATACAAATACTGATCCACGTAGAGTCCAGTAGCTCCAGTGTAGAACTGACTGCAGAGGGCGTATATTTGTGAACCGTACATAGATCCAGAAGCCTGGGCAGTTGGGTTGACTCCCATTATATACACGATGGTTGCAATAAACACCATGATGCCCAGGATAACGCTGACTATGATCACAATCAAGTAATATCTTCTTGTTCTAGACATTCCGGCTCTTACAACACTGGTAACAAATATTACCAAGGAGGCAATGAAGCAAAAGGCTGCCATGGCCAACAGGAAACCTTTGGCTGCTCTTGGATCTGTATACCCTCCATAGCCATAACCATAGCCATAACCATAGCCATAGCCACTTCCATAGCCACCAAAGCCACTTCCTCCATAAGGGTAGCCTAGGCTACCTCCAAAGATGCCAGTTCCATAGCCTCTGTCCCAAGCAAGTGTGGAAGCCACACAGGCAAATATGGCGATGCACATCACAATAATGAGCATAGACAGGATCCGAATCACTCCTGGAGGTGATGTCCATTTGTAGAAGTGAAGAATTTCATCTTCTGGGTAAAAGGAGTATGCTGGCTGGGAGAGCATTGGCCGAACGTGCATTTCCCCACCATACACATCATTGCTTGGTGCATAATGATTGGGTTTGCTAAAAGGGAAATAAAAAGACCCGAAGTTAAAAGTGCTTCGAATAAAATTAGCCACACAGATGAAACTACTTCAAATGTCCCTCTGAAGAGTAAAGGGGCAGCTGATTCTGTAGAACAAGTCTGCGTTGTTGGTTGGTTTTGGTCTTTTGGGCGGTCCGCCACCCAGCTCCCAAATAAATCACATATGGAGGGCTTTTTGTTTTGTTTTTTGTTTGTTTGTTTTGTTTTCTGAGACAGGGTTTCTCTGTGCAGTTCTGGTGCCTGTCCTGGAGCTCGCTCTGTAGACCAGGCTGGCCTCGAACTCACAGAGATCCACCTGGCTCTGCCTCCCGAGTGCTGGGATTAAAAGTGTGCGCCACCACTGCCCAGCAGAGACTTATTCTTAATTATGATTGCCCGGCCTTAGCTTGGCTTGTTTCTTGCCAGCTTTCCTTAACTTAAATTATCCTGTCTACCTTTTGCCTCTGGGCTTTCCACATTGGCAGTGAAGAGGTGGGTGTGCGTTAGAAGAGAAAGGGGGGAATACGAGAAGTAGTATGGTGAGAGGTAGAGCACTTGCCTAGCCTGCACAAGGCCCTGTGTTCAATCCCCAGGACCATCAAGAAGAACTGTGTGTGTGTGTGTGTGTGTGTGTGTGTGTGTGTGTGTGTGTGTGTGTGTTATACATATATTATGTTATATATATATAACTCAAGGAGCAAACTATTGAGCAAATCACTACATAATCTATAGTTAATTACATCAGGAGTGGCAAAGTAAACCAATTATACATTAAGAGCTCATCAGGGAATGCTCAACTGGATTCTGAATCTCCCTTATAAAACCTACTTTGCACATTCCAGTAATTTAATCATAAATTGACAAATTGTATCAGAGCCTCTGACATCTGACCAAACTGAATCTGAGAACTTTGAGCCTTACACAATGTCTTGGTGGGCATTAGTTTCTTTAGTTTTTTTGTTTTTGTTTGTTGAGACCGAGTCTCTCTACATAGCCCTGGCTGTCCTCGAACTCACAGAGATACCGAGTCTGCCCCTGCCTTCCAAGTGCTGGGATTGAAGGTATGCACTACCATGCTCAGCCCTAGACAACATCTTGAGGCGAATACTAGAAATGGATAGTGTAGTTGCCTCCACAGGGAAAAACTATCTTTTTGGAAATTATGCATAAGATGGAAATTCACTTTTCATTGCTAAATCTTAGGTACAATTCCCATCATGAAGTGCAAAAATTGTTCAAATTGTCTGTTTGTTTGAGACAGTCTCACCACACAGCTCTAACTGGCCTTGTACTCCACACACAGACCCAGACTACCTCAAACTTGTGGTAATCTTCCTGTCTCTGCCTCCCAAGGGCTAGGATTGTAAGAGTGCACACCATCCCGGGCTTGGTTTGTTTGTTGGTTGTTTGGAGACAGGATCGCACATGGCCCAGGCGGCCTTCAATCTCAGTATGTAGCTGAACTGCTGATTCTCCTGCCTCCGCCTCCCCACGTGCTGGGATTAAGGTGTGTGCCACCATGCCTGGTTTATGCAAACTCAGAATCACCACTTCATGCATGCTAGGCAAATACTCTACTGAGTCCAGAAGTAGTGTGGGGAGGGGGTGGGGGAGGGGCTCAGGACCGGGATGGGTCTAGGTCTCCACTGCTGAGCTACAGTCCTAAGCCCCCCAGGCTTAATTTTTACAAACAAATACTTAATGGATGGAAGTTTCTTTTACATGGAACAGGCCCCATTAGACAAAAGGAGTAATTATCTACTTACAATTCGTCAGGTCGGTAAGGAGGTGGACTTTCAAAAGGCCTCACAGACATGGCTGATGTCACTGGTCACCTGATGTTTATGAGGAGCAAGACTTCAGGCTCCTAAGATAAGCAAACCTAAGCAACAAAAGTAGGACGATGAAATTACTACTGAGGCCGGAGGGGCTTACATCACAAAGAAATGTAAAGACTGCAATCTCAAGCTCTCGTTCACTCCACAGCTACTTTCATCTGACAGACCATAATCCTTCGGCACAGATAACCTAGCATTTCTCCTGGCACCAGGATGGCACTCTGCCTGGCCCTGGCACACAAGCATCTTTGAACTTAAAATTCTGAGTTACAGTCATGACAAACCTCACATCTTGTTATAACATAGAAGGGGGGAAAAAAAATCTAGGTAGCCACTACTAAGAACAAAAGCCCAGAAAGACGAAGAAACAAACTTGAGGTTAGCATGAGCTCTTTCTTGTCTCAAAAAGATAAAGAAAAAACGGGGGAGAGAGGAAGGATTTGTTTCACAGAATTAATTATTTGGGATCAGCAAGATGGCACAGTAGGTAAGGGCATCTGCCACCAAGTCTGATGACTAAATTCAATCCCTGGAACATACATATTACAAAGAGAGAACCAACTCCTGCAAGTTGTGTGCCATGGCATGAGCGCACACGCGCATGCACATGCACGCTCTCTCTCTCTCTCTAAATTAAAAAAAATAATGATTTACTTTTTTGTTGTTTGTTTTTATTTGGTTTGGTTTTGACTTTTTGAGACAAAAATTTTTCTGTGTAGCCTTGGCTGTCCTGGAACTTACTCTGTAAACCAGAATGGCCCCCAACTCACAAAGATCCACCTGCCTCTGTCTCTCAAGTGCTGGGATGAAAGGTGTGTGCCATCAGGCCCAGCTCAATGATTTACTTTTAGTTTATGTACATTGGTGTTTGGCCTGCATGTGTATCTGTGTGAGGGTGTCAGATCCCCTGGAACTGGAGTTACAGACAGTTGTGAGCTGCCGTGTGGGTGCTGGGAATTGAACCCAGGTCCTCTGGAAGAGCAGTCAGTGCTCTTAACCACTGAGCCATCTATCTCTTTGGCGCTTTAAAATTTTAAAACAAAAAAATTATAATAATTTCAATACCAGGTACAGTGGTAAATGCCAGAAACCCCAACTACTCAGGAAGCTGGAGCAAAAGGATCTCGAGCTGGAGACAAGCCTAGGCAACACAGTAAGATCCTTTCTCAAATACAAAACAAAAAACAACAAAAAGCTGAGGACTGTAGCTCCGTAGTGGAGGATTTGCCTAGAATGCCCAGGGTCCTAGATTTAATCCCCAACACTGAAAGAAAAAACGATTTCCTATTACCTGTAAATGCTCCTGTCAGATGGGAATGCGTACGAAAAATGCAAATATAACAGTGTCTAGCATGTTAGTTAACTAAAGCACGAGCTAATTTAAAAGTATTCCCTTATTAAAAGTGATTAGAGCCAGGTATGGTGGCGCACCCCTCTAATCCCAGCACCGGGAGTCAGAGGCAAGCAGATCTCTGTGAGTTCGAGGCCAGCCTGGTTTACAAAGGAGTTCCTGGACAGCCAGAACTGTTACACAGAGAACTATGTCTCAAAAAAAAAAAAAAAATTAGAAAAGTGATTACAAGATGTAGGCACAAATGGTATGATTTTGAGCCATCCCATTCTGTCTCCTTTTCTAAGTCTCCAAAAATGTCATTTTTACAAAAGAAGAAGAACACGAAACACATATTAAAGAGTCCTTTCATAAGAGAAAAGCAGAGTAGTTTTGTTCTAGAATTCCTTAAAGCAGACTGTCTGGACGTCTGAAAGGCGGATGTCAATCAACATACATTTACCAAGGGTCTAACTACACAGTACGAGACACACACAAAACAGCAACTTCTTCAGGCTGAACTATGTGACCAAGTGTGGCGGGGAGCCATGAAGAAGAAGAGCATCTGGTGTCCTGGATGGGCATCCAGGCTGGTCAGGTGCTGACGTGTGGGGGTGGGGCTAGTTCATGGGCTGGAGAGGAAACCATGTACAGAGACGTTAGTCTGTCAAAAGAAGGCTATGATGAGCACACCAAAGTGCCTGGAGAGTCTGGTGACAGTCTCTCCTCTCACTCAGGTGAGAAACAGGGACCCAGTTAGGATCCTCAGCAGTGGAAGTAGGAATGACTTAGGACCAAGAAGACAGGTAAAAGAGTGCACCCAGGCAAAGCCCTGGAAGTAATAAGGCACAGGCTAAAGAGCTCGGAGAGAAGGGAAGAAACCACCCTGGATACCTACCTACCCATGTGCCAGGCACTTTGACAAAATTCCAATTCAGAATTCCACCCTTTTTATCCACTTCACAGACCCAGAAAGGATCAGAAAGATATGGGAAGTAAGATGCCCAGTGTATAAAGAAGCGAGTGACAGATGTAGCCTGACCCATACCTCCTGCCCTTTCCTCTACGGGAGACTTTAAGTCAATTTCATTTGAGATGGACTAGCTTTCCCGGAGCCAACGATTGGTGTCAATGTCTATGAAGCAGTGAATCTGGGCGTGATCTGCCTTGGTCCAAGGTGACTGCATGACACCGAAGAGATCGTCTAGAAAAATACTAACCAGTGACACCTAAAAGCTGAAGTTTATTCTAGCAAACCCAGTGATAGAAAAGCCAAGAAAGGGCCTACAAGATGGCTCAGCGGGTAAAGGGATTGCAGCGAAGGATGAAGAGCTGAGTTCAAACCCCAGGACCTACATGTTGGAAAGAGAAAAGCAACACCTCCTCACACATGCTGTGGTGTGCACGTAAGTGTGAACAGAAGATAAAGGAAGGAAAGAAGGAACAAAGGAATGAACCTCAGCTTTACCGTTTTTTTCAGCACTTCCTGTCCCTTGGGCAGGGTATAAGGAAGCAACGGAAAGTTCTTTCCAGGCAACTCTGGTAATCGATTAGCAAGAAAGAGAACTTTAGATCCACTAGGTCAATTCCATGGGAACAGGAGTTTCTGCATGTTGTTCAGCGATTAAAATAGCACCTGGCACATGGTAGATGTGCAAATATTTGCTCAACATTTACATGGATCAGATTGGACTATGGATACTTCTCCCTGCAAAACCTCATGTTGCTTTCAGGCTGAAGGTGAGGAAAAGGTATCAGAACAACTTAAAGTATTACCTTCAAGTGGCAGTCAAGAAAGCTCTGCGACTTGAGTATACCAAAGTGACACTTGTTTTCATTTTCAAATGAAGTCTGTACAACTGTACATTACTCCATCAGGAGCAGTAAATCAATTTAAACTTCTGAAACAGGTTATGTAAGCTACATAGCAAATCTCTTCCATGTCACTCAACAGTCGATTCTAAATATCAGAATAAAACTCTGTATATTAGATGTTGGGGAATATTATTTTAAGGTGTTACTTTTGTTTATGTTACATTTCTTTAACTCTGTGAAGTTGTGTTACTTTGCCTGTGTAAAATACCTGATGGGCTAATAAAGAACTGACCAATAGCAAGGCAGGAGAAGGGATGGGCGAGGCTGGCAGGAAGAGAGTATATACAGAAGAAAACTGCGAGAAAAGATCTAAGGTTGAACAGCCAGAGGAGGAGGACTCCAGGGGCCAGCCACCCAGATACACAGCAAGCCACTGAGTAAGAGTTAGATTTACAGAAGTTAGAGAATGGGAAAAACCCAGAGGCAAAAGACAGACGGGATAATTTAAGGAAAGCTGGCTAGAAACTAAGCCAACCTAAGGCCAGGCATTCATCATTAAGAATAAGCCTCCGTGTGTGATTTATTTGGGAGCTGGTTGGTGGGTCCCCCCCCAAAAAAAAAGAGTAAAAAAAAACCAATAACAACAATTAGATAAAACCTCAAAGATGGAAATCCAAGTAATACCAACATAGGCATCGCGCATAGGAAAGACAACTTCTTCACTTTTTTTTTCTTTTTTTAGAGAAATGGTTTGAAGGGTAAACAGCAGGAGGTAAGAGTCCAGGAAGTACCTCCTGCCAGTCATTTGTTTTTGTTTTTGTTTTTTAAACCACTTTGCCAGTGTACAACAAACACTTACAAATCATAAGTGTGTGCATCCCTGTCACTAGCCCACGGTCAACTTCCTCATCTCGTGTTGAAATACATAAATGAGCAATTTAAGCCAAAATGGGACTTTGAAAGGCAAAAGTCAAGACTGACATCCTAAATGATGTTTGGAAAAAGAAACACTAAGGAAAATCTTTAAACATTATTGAATGTAAGACCTTATGTCTGAGACTGAATGTCGATAGTGACAAATTCTCAGAGGAATCTTAGACCTTCTTTACCTACAGCTCAGTCACTAGAGACTATTCCCAAAGCCAGCCATGGTGGTTTGCCTAGGAAATCTCAGCATTTGGGAGGCTGGGGCAGGAGGATTTCCGTGAGTTCAAGGTCTGCTGGGCTACAAGTTAAGTCCAACTTGGGTTTTCTGCATGAGACTGTCTCAAAAGACAATACAAGGGGATAGAGAGACAGCTCAACAATTTAGCATGCTTACTGCTCCTGCAGAGGACCTGGGTTTGGTTTCCAGCATCCACATCAGGCAGCCAGTGCCAATAACTCAAGTTCCAGGGACCCAACACTCTCTCTGCCTTCTTCAGATACCTGCACACATGGGGTGCACATAAACATATTCTGGCACACACACCTACACATTAATACATAAATCTTTTTTAAAATACCAAAGGCAAGCCAGGTATGGTAGCGCATGCCTTTAATCCCAGCACTCAGGAGGCAGAGGCAGGAGGACCTCTGAGTTTAAGGCCAGCCTGGTCTACAGAGCAAGTTTCAGGGCAGCTGAGGTTACATAGTAAGACTGTGTCCCAAAAAAGAAGAGGAGGAGGAGGGGGAGGGTGACTACCCCCAAATTCCAGGCTCGGTATCGGTTATTAAAAACTAAATTAATTCCAATTCGAGCTTTAGTTGTCAGAAATTCAAACAAAACCCTTTTTCTGAGTGTTATTTCCTAGAGGCTGCAGTTTGGGTGTCATGTTTCCTCCAGTAGCAAGCAGGGACTTCTAAACTGTGAAACCATTTTAGAAAGCAGATTTTAACAGCTCTTGCCACACCTTGGTT